CTCTACCACTGAGCCACCTTCCCAGTCCCACGGCTACCCTCTTGACTGCTGACCTCTTTCATGCGAATATTTGGATCCCAAGTAATTTTTCAGGTGTAAGTTGGAATGGTTAAGGCAATAGTCTCTACACGTTTTTGCTGATATAACCCCTAAAATAATTTTGAAGTAGACACATGAAATTTCTTTGTCCTAAGTTTAGTTGCAAAAGATGTAATTTTTAGTTTAATATAAACATGACTTTTAAAATTAAAAAAGACATCACTTAAAATGTGTTTGATGACATCTAAACTCCATAGAAATTGAATACTCCATTTTCAAAGAAATTTTGCATAACTCCTTTTCTGTTTGAATTTTTATGCTGACTCTACTTCCTTAAAGAATTTTTAAAGCTGGGTGTTAGTGGCTCATGACTATAATACTAGCTACGTAAGGGGCTGAGATCTGAGGACTACAGTTCAAAACTACCCAGGCAGGACAGTCTGAGACTTGTCTCCAATTAAGTACCAAAAAAGCTGGAAGTGGAGCTGAGGCTTAAGTGGTAGAGCTCTATCCTTGAGCAAAAAGAGCTGGACAGTGCCCAGGCCCTGAGTTCAAGTCCCAAGATTGGCACAAAAAACCCCAATAAGGTTTATGTTCAAATATTTCATTGATTACTATATCATTATTTAATAAGTATAATTTTTGAATATTCTATGAATGCAGGGGTCTAATTGTCAAAATTTATTTTTGACTGAGTCATAATTATACTAGTAGTTTATTATTGTTAATAGGTATGTTGGCTTTGAACCTGGATCCTCAAATCTCAGCCTCTAGGATTACAGGTGTGAGCCATTGGTGCTAGATTATCTTCTTATTTATAGATAAAAAGATCTGAACTCTAATACCATGCCAGGCATAAATAGTTTTTGTTCAGTAAACATAGAGAAATGAATGAAATAAAAAATAACTAAGCTATAAAAAGCGCTTTTGGTTCCAAGAGCCACAACACCTAGCATCAATGTAATTTTTAAAAAATAATTTCTACAGGCTCATGCCTATAATCCTAGCTACTTCTTATACTCCTAGCTATTCAAGAGACTGAGTGAGATCTGAGGATTGCAGTTTAAAGTGATTCTTATCTGTGGAGGTGTGGCTGAAGTGGTGGAGTGCCAACCTCGAGCGAACAGGCCAAGTATAGGCCTGTCGTTCTACAGTGAATAGGCCCTATGTCCAGTCCTTTTGCTTTCTAGTTTTGTTTTTTGTTTTTGTTGGTCATGGGGCCTGAATTCTGGGCTCGGGCGCTGTCCCTCAGCTCTTCAGCTCAAGACTAGCACTCTACCACTGAGCCACAGCACCACTTCTGGCTTTTTCTGCTTATGTGGTGCTGAGGAATTGAACCCAGGGCCTCATGCATGCAAGGCCAGCACTCTACCACTGAGCCACTTTGCACTCTACCACTGACCACAGCACCACTTCTGGCTTTTTCTGCTTATGTGGTGCTGAGGAATTGAACCCAGGGCCTCATGCATGCAAGGCCAGCACTCTACCACTGAGCCACTTTCCCAGCCCTCCAGTGTTTTGTTTTTTTTTTTCCAGAGAGGGTTTTATGCTTTTGCCCAGGCCAGCCTTGAATTATCTTCCTAACTCTAATTCCTGAGTAGCTGGATTATAGCCATTTATGATCACATAGGGCTGTTTAGCTATCTACTCTTCCCATTCCTCAGTTGATTTACAACTTTAAAGGGCCACAAATCTATAAGCACCTGGGTCTTAGAAAGTGGGCTGCCTTTTAGATTGAAAAAAGAAAGGAAAAGAAAAATATTTTCTGAGACTTGAACTTGTTCTCTGACACTTTGACTCATTTGCTCCAAAAGTCTTATTTTAATGCAAAGAAACAGTTCTTGAATCCTCTAGAAGAAATAAGTGCTGTTTATTCTAAATAAATAGTTTATTTTAAAATAAACTACTGAGTCTGTAAGGTTTGTTAAGTACAAGATCATATCAGCAAATAGGGAGCATTCTTATTTCTTTATTTGAATCTTTTATTCTGCTTTACTGCTCTGGCCGGTAATTCTAGTGCTGAATTGAGTAAGAGTGAGGAGAATGACATCTTTGTCTGTTTCTGATGTAGGAGATATGATTGCTGTTTTTCCTGTTTAATATGTTAGATGTATGTTTGTCATACATAGCCTCTATTATGTTCAGGTATGTCACGTCTATTACTAGTTTCTTCAGAGATTGTATGTAAAAGGATGCTGAGTTTTGTTAAAGACCTTATCTGCATCAATTGAGGTGGTCTTGTGACATTTGTTCTTCGTCTTATTTATATCATTTATTAGATTTATTTATACATATATTGAACTGCCCTTGGATGAAACCAACTCGATCTGGTATATGATCTTTTTAATGTGTTATTGAATTTGGTTTGCAAGGATCCTACTGAGAATTTTTGCATCAGAGTTCATTGATGAGAGTAGTTTATTATTGTTTTATTTTGTTGCCTCTCTGTCTAGTTTTGGAGTGAATATAATGCTTGCTTTATAGAATGAGTTTGGGAGCATTCCTTTTTTTTCCATTTTATTGAAGAGTTTGGGTATATTGGTATTAGTCCTTAAAAGTTCAATAGAATTAGGCCATGAATCCATCTAGCCCTTGGGCTTTTCCTTGTTGGTATTGTTGCTTCAATTTTATTACTTGTTATAGCTCTGTTTAAGCAGTTTATATCCTCTTGGTTCAGTTTTAGTAGGTCAACTACATCTAAAAATTAACTACTTCTAGATTACAGTTAACTTTTTAAAGTAGTTCCTCATGATGTTTTGGATTTCTTTGGTATTTGTTGTGATATTTCCATCTTTACCTCTAATTTTATTAACTTGAGCCCCTCCCCTTCTTTTCATCAATTGAAAAGGGGTTTGTTGATCTTATTAGTATTTTTCAAAGAACCAAATTTCTGTTTCTTTGATATTTTGTATAAGTGTTTTAGTTTCCAATCCATTAATTTTTTTACCTAATTTTTACTATTTCTATCTGGTCTGGTTTGGTTTATTCCTATTTTTGTAGAAATTTGAGTTGCATAAGAAAGCCATTTATTTGAGTGGTTTTAAATGTGTGTGTGTGTGTATGTGTGTGTGTGTATGTGTATGTGTGTGTATGTGTGTGTATGTGTGTATGTGTATGTGTGTGTATGTGTATGTGTGTGTATGTGTGTGTATGTGTGTGTATGTATGTGTATGTGTGTATGTGTGTGTGTATGTGTGTGTATGTGTGTATGTGTATGTGTGTGTATGTATGTGTATGTGTGTATGTGTGTGTGTATGTGTGTGTGTGTGTATGTGTGTGTATGTGTGTATGTGTGTGTGTGTGTGTATGTGTGTGTGTATGTGTGTGTGTGTGTGTGTGTGTGTGTATGCATGCATTTTAGCTATGACTTGCCCTCTCAAAACTGCCTTTGCCATATCCCAGAAGTTCTGGTAGTATGTATTTTTCATTTTCATTAGTTTCTAGGAGGTTTTGGATCTTTCCCTTTATTCAGTCATTCAACAAGGTGTTGTTCAGATCCCATGTGTTGGAATGTTTTCTAAAATACCTTTTACTATTGAGTTATAGTTTAACTCCATCATGATCTGATAGAATACAAGGAATTATTTCAGTTTTCTTGTATTTGGTCAGACTTGCTGTATGTATGTCGTAGGGTATGATTTATTTTGGAGGAAGTTTGATGGGCTGCTGAGAAGATTGCACTGTCAGGGCTGGGAAGGTGGCTCAGTGGTAGAGTGCTTGCCTAGCATGCATGAAGCCCTGGGTTCAATTCCTCAGTACCACATAAAAACAGAAAAAGCCAGAAATGGCACTGTGGATCAAGTGGTAGAGTGCTAGCCTTGAGCAAAGGAAGCTCAGGAACAGTGTCCAGGCCCAGAGTTCAAGCCCCAGGACTGACAAAAAAAAAAAAAAAGCACTGTGTAGTTACTAGGTGAAAGTGAATGTTGGGTTAAGGAGCAGGGGAAGGAATGTAGGAGAGTTTAGTAGATATATATGCACACATAAAAAATAAAACTAGACAGGCACCGGCACTCAAGGATGAAGAGAACAAAAAGAGAAAAACAGCCGGGCGCTGGTGGCTCACGCCTGTAATCCTAGCTACTCAGGAGGCTGAGATCTGAGGATCACGGTTCAAAGCCAGCCCGGGCAGGAGACCATGAGACTCCTATCTCCAATAAACCACCAGAAAACCGGAAGTGGCGCTGTAGCTCAAGTGGTAGAGCGCTCGCCTTGAGCTGAAGAGCTGAGGGACAGTGCCCAGGCCCAGAGTTCAAGCCCCACGACTGACAAAAAAAAAAAAAAAAAGAGAAAACAAAGAAACAAAAACCTAGAATGCAAAACACCAAACAACCAAATAAATATTCAGGCAACTCATGTCTAATTTTTAGATATGAGTTATATGAGGAGGAGTCAGGGGTGGAGCCCAGGGTGTTAGTATGCGTGGGAGGTAAGTTCTGCTTGTAGAAAAGAGAGGATGAAACGATCCAAAGCCCTGGTAGGTAATGGGATTCACACACAAAATACAGGGTTTGACAGGAAGAATTAAGGTCCACGCTAGAAGATAGACGTTACAGAATACATTGCTGGCAGGCACCAGCAAACCTCTCCTTTAATGCTAGCTGCTCAGGAGGCTGAGTACCATTGTTTGAAACCAGCCTGGGGAAGGAAAGTCCAAGAGACTTATTTCCAATTAACCGCCGCAAGAGCTGGAAATAGATCTGTGGTTCAAGTGGTAGGGAGCTAGACTTGAGTGAAGAAGCTGGGAGACAGTGCCCAGTTCTGAGTTCAAGCCCCAGGGCCCCCTCCCCCAATGCTTTTTCCTGATAAGCCATTCATTTAAGCAAATGCATTAAAATATATTGAACCTAAAGGCTTTTTACAACAAATATGAATACTCAATTGTTCTTTGTATGGCTATGTACATAAAATGTATATATAGTCTTGCCCGCAGGATGCAAGGGTCTGCTTGAACGTGGATTTACATGGAGTCAGGGACTGAGGAGTTCGAGTTAGTGGCCGATGGTCCAGGCCTCTGTTGTTTGGCATAGCAGGGAGTCCCAGGGCTGCTGAGTGGCCAGTGATGGCCACTGCCTTTGCCGCCAGGCGCCAGAAGCTTCTGAGCCGCAGCAGGTGGATGGCGCGTCCCATGTGTGCTGTGTGTGGGGTGGGACCTCTTCAGTGTGTTCTACACAGATACTTCTGCTCTCTCCCAATTTTCCATCTCCCAGTATAGCTGCCTGCCAGCTTCTGCACCTCTGGCTTCCTGGTTGCACTACAACTTTCCAAACTTAATTTTGCTTTTACTCCTTCCCCTCTCCCTCCCTCCCTCCTTCCTTCCTCCTTCCCTCCCTTCCACCTGTCCTTCCTTCCTTCCTTCTCCTTCCTCTTTTTCTTTCCCTCCCTTCCTTTCTTTCTTTTTCTTTCTCTTCCCCTTCCTTCTTTTCTTTCTCTGCTATCTGACGTGATGCCCCTCGAGGTGTCCCATACTGATTCACACCCAAGTTCTATGGCAAAGTGCCTTATGAGTGGTTAAGCTGTGACTGGGATCCCAGAAAAACCTTTCTCCCTCTCTGTCCACTCTCAGGGATTTGAGGGACACAGAATCTCTTGGCTCCCTACATCCCAGCCTCTCACAGTAGCTTAGTTCCAAGTACCTGAGCTGGTTGCTCTTCCTTTTCCTACAGCTGAATCGGATGATCCCTTAGTGGGGCCTCCTCGGTTTACTTAGGAGTTCAGTCTTGGGGGCTCTCTCCCTTGTGTGAGAGAGCCATTTTGTTTTACCATTTGTGTTCGGCTGTCCTTCTCTGTAAACCTCTCGTGGCCTTGTAGTGTTCTCCTGTCGTCCACTCTGGTTACCTTCATGCCATCAGTCCTCATTCACAGAGTGAACATGGTCTCTGCTCTTGTCTCTTATCTTGTTCCTCCCCTCGTTTGCAGTTTATCTGTCTATGCGTTCTGTGTTTAGTATGCTCAGGCATATTCATTTGTGAAAGTCAGCTCCTATCTCAGAGTTTGCATTTGCTCTTCTGTAGGCCTGGGATTCTCTTACCTCCCCAAATTTTGCTCATGGCTGACTTAGTTTTCTGACTCAAGTTTCAGCACAAATACCCAATTCTCAAAGAAGATCTATCTTGACCATATCTAAAGATCTCCCACTCCTCATTCAACTTTGACAATTGTCTATTTTGATTAATTTTCTTTGGACATCGTTTGCTACCTGAAAGTACCTTGATTTTTACATGTTTCTCATCTCTCCTTCTGTTAGACCGCAGTGGAGTGTGATTCCATGTTGGTCTGTTTAGTTCTCTGTTCTGTTTTTAAATCTTAGGGCAAAGGTTAGTACTTGGTGGGGATTATTGCATATTTTCAGAATGAATTGAGAAGTCAAGGTCCTGCTATCCCCAGAAAAGTCCTCTCAAAAGGACTTATTCACCACAGTTGGAACTGTGTCCTCCCACTTTTTTTTTTGTCTTCAACTCAGCTAGATGCTGATTCTTAGCTTTTCACTTAAGTCTGTGCTCTACCACTTGAGCTACAGTTCTTCTTATGGATTTTTGCTGGTTAAATTTAAGAGGCTCATGGACTTTATTTATTTATTGCCAAGACCTGCTCTAGCCCCAATCCTCAAATTTTAGCCTCTTGGCAGCTAGGATTATAGGTGTGAGCCTGAAAGGCCTTTATTATTATTATTATTACTACTACTATTAAGTAGTTGTACAAATATTCTTTTTAGATTCTTTCTAGGGTGATAGAGGAGAGCTTATAAGGGGAATGGAGAGGTAAATGTGTGGCTCAGTGGTAGGGTATTTTTTTTTAGCATGGATAGGCCCTGTACTAAGTTCCCATCTTATTAGGAGCTGGGGTAGATGTAAGGGGTGATTGAGGAGGAAAGAATGAAGTGGTCTTTACATCTCTGTGCTCTGGCTTCAGCTCCCTACACCTAATGCAATCATATGATAAGGCTCATCTCCATCGAGAGCTATTAAAATGGAGAGGCTAAAAGAGCTCCCTAATATTACATAGTCTATAAGGGGTAAAACAGACACCCAATGGTATACTTTTCTAAACTAGAAATTTCCTCCCATACCCAGTTACAAGTGTTTCTGTGTATTTGTTCATCTAGACCATCACTAATTTCCACAGGCATAGGATATGTCTCATTTTGAGAAGAAAATAGTCCAGCTGTGGTGGGGGAACTGTCTTCTCTAACTTTTTTCGTTTTGGTCGTGGGGCCTGAACTCTGGGCCTGGGCGCTGTCCCTCAGCTCTTCAGCTCTAGGCTAGCGCTCTACCACTTAAGCTACAGTGCCACTTCCGGCTTTTTCTGCTTATATGGTGCTGAGGAATCGAACCCAGGGCCTCATGCATGCGAGGCAAGCACTCTACCACTGAGCCACCTTCCCAGCCCTTTTCCAACTTTTTAGGTCTCTAAATTCTTTTTAAATGTTCCTATTTCCCAAATCGCTGCCTATGGTACTAAGACAGTAATAAGAAAACACACCAGTGAGTTGGGTTAAGGTGTTCTGGTGTTGTGGAGCAACGTAGTCCTTGATGTCAGTTAAGATGGGTGTGTTCTGAGTAAGAGGGTGGAGGGTTATGAATGACTCTAGGGATAGCAAAGTCTAGATTTAAAACCTTTTTAATTCTTTTATTCATTATCAGGATAATTCTAGTCACCATCCTCAACATAAAGGAGACCATTAAACCTCAAGCTGAAATATAAAAGGGAACATTTGTTTTTAATCTAAATTCTTTTAGTGAAAATATGAATCTGAAAATTTGTCATTCTGAGTGCCCTGCCATTCTCTATGAAGTTAACTGGGGGGGGGAGGGCAGGGGGGTAGGAGAAGGAATCTTGAACTAAAGTCCAAATTCCACACCTTCCATTTTTAGTCTTTGAGAGGAATGTGAAAGTTCAGTTTTGCTGACCTGGCCTGAAGCACACCCTTTCTTACACAGTTATAACCCCCTTAAGAAATCTCCGGGAAGCCGGGCACTGGTGGCTCATTCCTATAATCCTAGCTACACAGGAAGCTGAGATCTGAGGATCAAGGTTCAAAGCCAGCCTAGGTAGGAAGGTCCTTTTGTGAGACTCCTATCTCCAGAAAACTACTCAGAAAAAGGCAGAACTGGTGCTGTGGCTTAAGTAGTAGAGCACACTAGCCTTGAGCAACAAAGCTTAGGGACAGCACCTGGGCCCCGAGTTCAAGCCCCACAACTGAAAAAAAACAGACAAAATTCTGTGGAGGTAAAGATCCATTAGACTGCTGTGATCACAGGAGAGAATGTTCCAGAGCTGTGCTGATTACAACAGCATGAGCTCAACCACGTGTGTGTGAGAACAGCCCCCCCAGGACCCGCAGCCCGCAGCCCGCAGTGCGTGCCTGTCTGCTCACAGCTATAGAGCAGCAAAGCTGCATCTTAGCATCATACCATAGTTTCTCCTCATCTCCCTCCACCAGCCACGATTCCCCCCCATCCCAGAGCAGGACTGAAGCTCCTCCCTCTGGTATCAGTCAGTTCCATTTGTGGCCTCGCTGAGATAATTCTCCCAGCCCACCATCAGACACTTGCTCTTCTTTTATCAAAACATGGAAGGACCATGAGGCCAGATGGAAGACCTGTCAGCTCCAGCCGGAGGTGCCTGAGACTGGCCCTCAGCCCAGTCTGCACCCTTGCGCCAGCCTGAGCCACAAGGTGGTGGCAAAGACTGAAGCCGCCTCTCGGAAGCTTTCCTCTTGCCAGTCTTTCTTGCCTCCCAGCCCCCTCAGCCTTAAATCTCCTCCCTTCATGTGGAGACTCCTGTGGCATATTTAAACTTTTCCAAAATGCCTATTGTTATTTTAAAAATAAGTATTTTCAGATTGCAGAAAGTGTTTTTTTAAATTGACATAGGACTCTCAGTGTCTCATGTAAACAAGAATGAAATTTAGGAGAAAGGAATGTGTTGAAATATAATGTCATCTTGAACTGAAACATTAGTACACAGACTCGGTCTGTGTACTTGACAACATAGTCTTAAGGGTTGGTAGCATGCAACCAGCGAGCAAAGCATCAGGTATGGAGTTCATGTTCCAGTCTCAAACCTAAAAAAATAGTCTTGTGTATGTAGCCAGTATTACATGACTAACCATTAGCAACGCCTGAGTTCTTATTTACTACAGTCACATTAAAATGAAAGTTAATGAAATAAATATAGTAAAATTTCACTTATAGCCCATTGCTTCATACAGTTGTTCCTTTTACCTTTCTGTGTTCCCTTCCACGTCTAGACCATGTACTGTAAGGCTGCTGGATGGGACTCTGGATGTAGTTCTGGGGGAAGACATTTTTGTGAAAAGTAGAGTTCCATACTTTAAACTAGCTCTGAGGCGCATCTATGTTTTAACTTGCCCTATCAACCCATTTTAGTTTTATTATCTCAACTCTGGCTGCGCCATTATAAGATAAGATGCATTTTGTTGGTCATGGTGGAACTATGATTTTACAATCTCATATTAAGGAATACCACCAGACTAAACTGCTTGACATTAGATTTTCATTATATATTTACAAAAAGCTGGTGAGCCTGGGTATAGTAATAGGCCTTTGTGGGTAGGAACTGTATTCCCTCTTTATCTTAGATTCCTGTGTACTTTTTTTTGGTGGGGGGCCAGTAATGGGACTTGAACTCTGTGCCTGGGCGCTGTCCCTGAGCTCTTCAGCTCAAGGCTAGCATTCTACCACTTGAGTCACATTGCCACATCCTGCTTTCTGGTGGCTTATAGGACTTTCCTACCCAGGCTGGCTTTGAACCGTGATCCTCAGATCTCAGCCTCCTGACTAGCTAGGATTACAGGTGTGAGCCTCTGGTACCCAGCTTGTGCACTTTTGGCAGTATGGAAAGATTTCAGCTCCAGACAGACAATGGGATTGGGCCCTAAAGTAATAATCTGCTTTATTCTCCAAATGGCCAGTAGTATATATTCCCCTCTAGTTTTCGTTCCTGGTTTCTTCCTGAGATTGTAGATTTGGTTTGTTGAGGTTTGCAAAATTTGCCTGGTTATAAAAAATTATTAGAAACAGTTTTCTGGGTCCTTCTAGTCTTATTGGCAGTTCTGAAGGGTGGCTTGAGTTAGGCATACTGATATTTGGGGAATGAATTTGTTT